AACAATCGATCTGCTATCGGTTTGCGGGTTGGAGAGGTTTCTGAGGGTCACTGAGTGACAAAATGATATTTTGATTTTGAATGAAGCGTCATGGTTTGGATCTCCAGACTTTTATATGTAGCAAGCAGGGTCGCATAAAATTAATATTCAATAATCTGTATGACAGTCAATTTAATTAATAGCTTTAAGCTTTGTATAATTTTGATCAATGCTAAAATTCAGATTGAAATAAAATTCAATCAAATATTTAACTATTTTATAATTTTGATAAATGCTGAATTTCAGAATGGAAATATAATTGTTTAGATTTAGGTTAATATATTTGGCAGCAAGAATTATTTTTGTACTTCCACGCTTTCATAAAAATGTTAAATGTAGGTTATTATGGATATGCAAATAAGTTTTAGGTTTTCAACGCAACTTGACCCTGTCAGCCTATTTATAGTTTGTATGTTTAAACGTAACTTGATATTCTACTGTCACTATATGTTTATTCTGTGAACTTTGACCTGTTGTATACCACAGTAAACTTTATACCTATATCATGAGTGTTGGACTATTGTACAATGTAGGATGATGACAAATAGAAATCATGTTTTAGATTTTGTTTGTTATAATATCTATATTAGTAGCATTGTTTTTGTTGTTTTTTTTCTTTTGAACGTATTAAAAAAGAGCAGCATTTAAGGAAAGTCTATTTTAATAGTTTCTCATATTTTTATACGTTCACACGTAATGAGGATGCGTATAATTATATCCTGACCACCATTCGTCAGTCCATTTTGACTGTTAAAACTTGTGATACAGGACCTTTTTTTTTTATATTTTGGTGAGTTTGTTTATTAGGGGTTAGCTGAACCGTATTAAAATCTTGGTAAGTTTGTTGATTAGGGGTTAGTCGAATCCTTGTAAAATTAAGAGTAGTCTGATTGTAAATCCTGGACTTTGCATCCCTTTTTTTCTCTTCATTTTTTTTTTATATTTAAAGCTTGTGGACCCGATACTGTACTGTTCTCTGTGGACCCGATACTGTACTGTTCTCTGTGGACCCGATACTGTACTGTTCTCTGTGGACCCGATACTGTACTGTTCTCTGTGGAATTTAATAAAACTTAGTTGGATCCTTTTAGCTAGACTTGTGTTGAGTTTACAACTGCTTTCAACCTTTCAACCAGTGTGCTTACATGTATGTCGTTCGGGGGTGGTTAGCGCGTATCATAAGGTCTGTGTTTGAGTCAACTGGCGTGGTTTCAATTATTCCCCAGTTGTACGTGACAAGGAGTAGGGTGCCTGTCCAACCTCGTGGGTTTTCTCCAGATCCTATTGTTCCCTTCCACTGCTAAAGACCCCTACGTGCAAGCGAATTATTGAAATAAAATTAAATCATATGTTAGTCCTGAAATGACCTAGTTTGTGTTGAGTGGACGTTAAACCCCATCTCATTGGAAGGCTTGACATCGAACCTATATAGTCCGTGGATTCAAGGGCGTGGATTTGTCATAACTTTTGGGGGGGACGGACGAACCCTGGGACCTTTCATTACCAAACCAAAATAATAATTACGAACAGTTTACCAGTGTTATTTCGATGAAAGCTGTAACTAGGGGTAATATGATGACGATATGATAAAATTGACTACATACAATTAAGGAGAAAGATATCGTGAAGATCAGTAACTGTGGCGAGACCCAAGGTTAGATAGCCTTCAGAACGGGACATTCATGTGGATATAAACCTGAAAATCTGTCCTGGCGATCAAAATCATGGGGGGGGACAGAGACCTATTCGTCCCCCCCTTCTGATTCTAATGGGGGGACCCCCCCCCCCCCTAAATCCACGCCCATGCATGGATTTCCGTTTTTAAGTTGTATTTTAAAATATGTTAGATATTATAACTGATTATATCGGTTATTGTTAACATACGAATGTTTACTCACCTAATATTAAATAACATCTTTCTTGTCGTAGCGCTATTTTCTATTGCCTGTTTTTTTAAATCAGAATGACGACAGCGGTGAGTTGAATGACAGGTGTAAACATCTTCAGTTTGTCCCCATTTCATTATCTCACTGATAATATATACAATGAAGTCATGTACCATGTGTCCCTGATGGTGGGTTAAAGGTCAAAGTGTATGGGGTAACGACCAACTGAAGGTTCTGAAGTGCTTCATGGTTTAGATCTATATTGTCAATGTTTGTACTGTATCACAGCTTTTTAATATTTTGTGAGTTTTTTTGTTTAGTTGGTTGAATAAGTCTTAATTCAGATATTGTGAATGGGGTGAAAGTTGAGAGGTCGTGTAGACTGATGTGTTGTGTATATGACTGGGTTGTTATATATATGAACGTAGGTAGGTCGACTACATGATACCATGGACCATGTGTAACTACAGAGAAATCATTGTGTAGTGATAGTTGTACGGATTCATTCATATACTAGATGTTTGGTATGTATAAATATTGTATGGATGTACGATGGTGGATATATTGAACAGATTATTCACGGTATTGTGAAGGAGTTTATATCAAGTAGGATTATGAGGATTTGTATGATATATATATTGGAGTAACACTGAGACTAACACATGGTTGTTTTTATGTAGTTTATATCAAGTAGGATTATGAGGATTTGTTTGATATATCTGACTAACATCCTGTAATCATGAGACTAACATGTGGTTGTTTTTGTGTAGTTTATAGTAAGTGGGATTATAAAGACCAGTATGATATATTAGAATATCGGAGTAACATCTTGTCATCATGAGACTAACACATGGTTGTTTTTATGTAGTTTTTATTAAGTGGGATTATGAGGACTTGTATGATATATCGGAGTAACATCTGTCATCATGAGACTAACACGTGGTTGTTTTTGTGTAGTTTATTGTTAAGTGGGATTATGAGGACTTGTATGATATATTAGAATATTTGAATAACATCCTGGGGGGGGGGGGGGAATGGTTAAGATGCCCGCGTTGTATCATAAGGTCTCGCATTGAGTCAAGTGGCGTGGTTTCGATCCCGTCTTGTACATGAAAAGGAGTAAGATGACCTGTCCGTCCCACTGGTAAAGATCACTACATGCAAGCGAATTATCGAAATAAAATTAAAACCATATGTTAGTCCCGAAATGACCTAGTTCTGTCGAGTGGACGTTAAACCCCATTTCTCTCTCTGGTTATATGTAAAACGCTAGTGAAAGATAATGAAGCGAGGACAGTCGTGTTTCAGTCTCGTAATCTTCTATAATGTGGAGGGAGAGAGGATTTAACCAGAGCAGTGTCATTTCAACATGTTCTCAACTTTATATTACAACTACCAAGGGATCTTCTCTATCCACTGGACCCAAGTTTTTATCTTGTGCTGTCAGTCATACAGCTTGGAACTGATATTTCATTGGTTCATAGAGTCATTCATATTGGTCAAACCAGTTTGCGTGATGACCAATCAAATCCATTGTTATTTGAGACAAGGCAAATATGTGATTGTCAAAAAGGGTTGGGTGTTGTCTAGTGATCTAGTTGTCTGATGCGTGAGTTAAGTAGAAAGGGCTGGTTTCTTTGGGTTCTCTGGTTTCCTCCCACTGCTAAAAACAACCTACAGACAGGCAAGCAAATTATTGAAATAAAATTGAACTATAGCCTAGTCTCGAAATGATCTAGTTTGTCTCGAATGGACATTATACCTATTTCTCTATCTTGATTGTCAATTGGATGAATATTAGACAAAGAGCTTTCCATAGTCACATGGTAATGTACTCATTAACTGAACTACGGGTGACATCCAAACATCCACTGACACTCAGTTGTTTATACTCCTAGTTGTTTATACTCCCAGTTGTTTATACTCCTAGTTGTTTATACTCCCAGTTGTTTATACTATCAGTTGTTTATACCTCCAGTTGTTTATACTCCTGGTTGTTTATATCCCCAGTTGTTTATACCCCTAGTTGTTTATACTCCTAGTTGTTTATTCTATCAGTTGTTTATACTGGTTGTTTATACTCCTAGTTGTTTATACCCCCAGTTGTTTTTACCCCCAGTTGTTTATACTCCCAGTTGTTTATACTCCTGGTTGTTTATACTCCTGTTTTTTTTTTAAATATATTATATATATATATATATATATATATATATATATATATATATATATATATATATACATACACTCAGTTGTTTATACTCCTGGTTGTTTATATCCCCATTTGTTTATACTCCTGGTTGTTTGTACTCCTGGTTGTTTATACTTCTGGTTGTTTATACCCCCAGTTGTTAATACTCCCAGTTGTTAATACTCCCAGTTGATTGTTTATATCCCCAGTTGTTTGTACTCCTGGTTGTTTGTACTCCTGGTTGTTTGATACTCCTGGTTGTTTTATGCTATCAGTGGTTTATAGTTTCAGTTGCTTATACTCTCAGTTATTTCTTCTCTTTTTTGTAAAATTCATCTACTTAGTTTAAAGAGTATTTCTTAGAAGGTTTGTCTATTTATATTAATAGCTGTGTTTATTAAAATATTTCTTAGAAACTTGTCCTAATTATTTTAATAACTCTACATGTTAATTAGGATGTTTTCAAAATCGTATAATTAAAATTTTTGGAGTTTGATCAACTTTCATTTCTGACATTTTCATCTCCTGTATTTAAAATTGTCGATCAGAAAACGTTGTATTTACTGGTAATCTAGTGGATTGAAGGTTTTATAATTCCACAAATTATTACAGTGACTCCGCAGTCTTTATAAAGGAAAATATATGACAGGGGTTTCAGTGATTGGAATATCCACAGGATATTTGTAAATATTCTCAAGGGGATATTATTTAATTAAATAACCTTTGGATAGGATTTCACTAGTCTTTTTCATTTATTGTTCTTAAGTTTTAGTGGATTCAAGTCTAAAAAGGAAAATATCTGGGGGGTTTCTGTGGGTGGAATCTTCTTAGGATATTTGTGAATATTCTTAATTAAAAAATCTTTTGATAGGATTTCATACTAGTACCTTGTCTTTTGTTGTTTTAACGAAATCCTACGTATTTTTAGGTGAAGCCGGAATTAAAGTGCACTTCTGTGAAACGCGGATTTCCGCTACAGTGGATCAGTAGTAAGATAGCAAAGCAATCTGTGCTTTTCACACTTCAGTGGTTCCAGTCCAGTCGTTGTGTGGGATTATTTTTCACAATCAGATTTATAATCCTCAAAATATTTGTCTAAAAAACAAAAAGAAACAATCTGTTTTGCTGCAGTCTATTGGATAGTGGATCCTGTTATTGTTTGTTCAAACCATTCTTAAGGATATAACATGGAGAAAACGCATATTAATATTGCGCCGATGTTGAGTCGTTCTCGACGCCCTTCTGCGTTAATCGAAGAAAGTCACGTTAAACAAGTCAAGGTAACAATCTAATTTTTATTTCATTTATTTTTATTTAAAGATGCATTTCCTTGATAATTTGAACGATGATTATGTGGTTGTTATGATTGGGGGCAATGATTATGTCATAATTGCGAGAATGATTATATTATGATCGGGACAATGATTGTGTCATAATTGGGACAATGATTATGTTATAATTTGGATTATGTTATAATTGGGACAATGATTATGTCATAATTTTGACAATGATTATGTTATAATTGGGACAATGATTATGTCATTATTTTGACAATGATTATGTCATAATTGGAACAATGATTATCTTGTAATTGGGACAATGATTATGTTATAATTGGGACAATGATTATGTCATAATTGGGACAATGATTATGTTATAATTGACACAGATTATGTCATAATTTTGTCATTGATTATGTCATACATGTAATTGGGGTGATGACTATGTTATTACTGGTATGACAAGGTGACAAGAAAAAAATCAACAATTTTTAATAAAACACAATAATCCAGACTAAAAGCAGGTTAGAAGCAGTAAATACTCGACTTCTCAAATGACAAATCACATATACTGGTCCAAAAATAATTTACATCAATCATTTCTAACAGAGGTTATAATTACGGCCATCTGAAGTTCCATGTCTATTGATTGGAGGTTAAACCCCATCTCTTTCTCACTGTACAGTCGACCATATTAGTATGTACATATATAAAGAGAGTATATAATTATAATGTTGACGTACCTGTACAGGTAAAATATACAGGTGATATGAAGGTTAATTATAAAGGTTATTTCCTTTAACATTTCTTATTAAGTGTAAGAAATTAGAAAGGAAGGATAGACACTAGATGACAAATTGCTATCAAATTTACGGACCATGATATAGGGCTTAGGCCACAGTACTGTTATATCTTTTGCTAAGATGAACAAAACATTTCTATAATTCATAAATATAGTATTACCTACAATTGTTTTTATTTGTTTGCTCAGAAAATACCCAGCAGAGATAAACTATGCTAGATTAAAATGTGGTTTTTTTTAAAGTCTAAATGAAAATTTTGCTTTGTCCATCACTTATTTCCAACACATTTTGTAAATCTGAAAGTATCACTCACAGATAATCAAATTCCACTGACAACCTTTAATTTGTAAAATTGTGTTTGTGGTGTATGTTAGTGTCGTATAAAATTGTTTTTGTGGTGTATGTCAGTGTCGTATAAAATTGAGTTGGTGATGTATGTCAGTGTTGTATAAAAAGGCTTTGCACAGGCAACTGTAAAAAATTATTTTGTAAATTTGAGCAAAATACTTGCAGGTATCGCACGTGACGACTTAGTGTCCAATTCTGTTACGTCCCGGTTGTACGTGACAAGGAGTAGGGTCGCCTGTCCAACCTCGTGGGTTTTCTCCGGGTCCTCCGGTTTCCTCCCACTGCTAAAGACCCCTACGCGCAAGCGAATTATTGAAATAAAATTAAACCATATGTTAGTCCCGAAATGACCTAGTTTGTGTCGAGTGGACATTAAACAAAATTTCTCTCTCTCTCTCTCGCTTCAATAAATTATTACTAATTCACATTACTAATAAGCATCAATGTGTTAATTTCTATTATAATAATGTGCTAAAATATCAGACTGATCGAGTTAAACAATGATACATGTCATGTTAATTCAACTGGGAAGTTTAAAATATAAGTTTGAATAATAGTAATCAACCGTAAGAAATACGACACCCTTCAATATAATATAGTGAGAGTATAATTAAAGGGAGTAGACACTTTACTTTAAATGTTTCTGTCTCATTAAAGCCCCCCTTTATTAAGTTCTCACTATAGTTAAAAACTAGATAATGTAAAGTGAATTTGCTGAAAATTTCAGTCCAATTGATCAACTCTGAACCGTGTTTTTAGCTTTTGAATTTTGGGCCTAGCCTCAATCATCATAACTAAAGTCAGTACGATAAACATTTAGTCTTAATATCCATTTTTGGATTAAATCATCAATGAGCGTTGAGCAGCAAATCAGATTCAAATCCACTAAAAATCTTAACACATAAGATGACATCGAGAGTTGATTATGGTCTTTTCATGTTAATTAATATCTGATTAATAGTTTATATAACATTTCAGGCCTAAAGAAAAACCTGCAATTGGCAGATTTGGCTCTTGCAATGTACAGTAGGTTTAAATAAAATGGGGTTTAACGTCCTACTGTTTTTCTCCCACTCGGTTAATGAAGACGGGCATATGCCATACAGTGTTCTATGAGGGAAATTTTGCACGGGCAGCGGCACTATGGCCTACTCTTATATCAAATTCCAACTGCCAAGGGATCTTTTACATGCACTCCAATGTATACACAGGACCTCGGTTTTCCATCCCATCTGAACGACTAGACAACTGTCCTTTTCAGGCCCACCGTCCTGCACCACTGACAAGAGGAAACCACGTCGGAAAATCCACACTACACACTAATACATGCCAAACCTGGGGACAATGGAGCACACAAATTACACAGACATTGAAAGCAAAATTAATGCCTGGGGTGATGAATTTAGGTATGAAATAAAATGAAACGGGGTAATGAAGACGGGCATATACCATATAGTGTGCTATGAGGGAAAATTTGCTACGGCCTACTCTTTATTTTGAATTCCAGCTTTCAAGGGTTCTTTTACGTGCACGCCAATGTGTACACAGGATCAGGTTTTCAGATCATCCAAACAACTATATGTTGTCCCTTGAAAGGCCCTACGTTCTACATCACTGACAGGGAGAACTACGATGGAAAACCCTGATGACCTTTCTCGGCCAACACAAACACAGGACCTCCAATTTAGCGAGTAAACGTCTTCCTTATTAAGGTACCGCTGTTTGCCTATTAGCGATGTTATAATGAAATATCAATATGATGATTGACAGTTTGATAAACAGACATCAACTGTGTTAATTGATGTTTCTGATTGACCTCCGTGTAGATTATTGAAACTTTGTGTAGGTGTTGATTAGGCGTTGACTTGTTGGTCATCATCATGAAATGAATAACAAGTTGGATTGTTCACATGTATAATTATATCACTTGAAGACAATACTCCTATTAAATAATAAAACTATTGTTAGAGCGATACCCTGTTAACAATTATTGGTGCATATCACTTGAAGACAATACTGGTAGTAAATAATTAAAACATTGTTAGAACCATATACCTGATAACAATTATTGGTGCATATCCATATCAGGTTTATAAAGAGGAAATTTGATGGTCAACTCTCTCTCTCTCTCCCTCCCCTATAAACCCCTCTCTCTCTCTCTCTCTCTCTCACTCCCACCTCTCTCCCCCTCTCTCCCTCCCTCCCCCACACCTCTCTCTCTCTCTCTCTCTCTCCCTCCCCCATAAACCCCTCTCTCTCTCTCTCTCTCTCTCTCTCTCTCTCTCCCCCCCACCTCTATCTCTCTCTCATCCCATTTGACTTTGTGAAGGTCATAAAGAAGACAATGAACTGTAACAACAGAAAGATGAATTAATTGTGAAATGTTTGACGTCATGACAACACGATGTGTACTGGATGATATATCCGTCAGTTAGTCGTAAAACGTGGAGAAATTTTACCATATAAATGTTGAAATAAGGAAATATAAGATGACATTAGGATGGATTAACTTCCTGTAGGCCATAATCATGTTTATTTCAAGAGATGTTTTCATAATGTAATAATAAAACATAGAAATGAAATAAATTGTGGTTTAACTTCAGTTGCCCTCGGTTACTGATTTCATTGACATAAGCAACCGTGTAACTGATTGAATACAGTTGATTCCAGTTGTAAAGTCACATAAGCTCCACTTAAGGGAAATGAAATGAAATGGGTTTTGATGATTTGACCTTTCTGCACCAACTGGACTAATGAAGACCGTGTGTTATGAGGGACATTTTAGGGAACCTTATTTTAGGTGACCTTATTTCGAATTTTAACTGTGAAAGGTTCTTTTACGTGTGGGAGGGGGGGGGGGTTTGTCCGAATGGTTAGCACGTGCGCGCTGTATCATACGGTCTGTCATTGAGTCAACTGGCGGGGTTTCGATTCCCCGGTTGTACGTGACAAGGAGTAGGGTCGCCTGTCCAACCTCGTGGGGTTTTTCCGGGTCCTCCGGTTTCCTCCAACTGCTAAAGACCCCTACGCGAAAGCGAATTATTGAAATAAAAATGAACCATGTGTTAGACCCGAAATGACCTAGTCTGTGACGAGTGGACGTTAAACCCCATTTCCCTCTCTCTTTTGTGCACACCAGTGTTTACACTTGAACACGTTTCTATAGGATGTATAGATTATAGTAATATATATAAAAATTCTATTTAATCATCTGCTCTAAGCATGTATATTATACAGGTTAGTACAGGTATCTAAAAATTAAAATGTTGAGAAAAGAAACAATGTTATTAAACCAGTGTTGAAATCAGTTTGTGTCGGCATACCTTTTATCTTTTCATCGTTTACCTTGAAACAAAGTAGTGCAGCTATTAAAGTAGATAAAGTACAAATACTTAAACATGCATTATGCAAGAGCAAAATCTGCTTATTACAAGTCTTTCTTTAGGCCTGAAATGTTATCTAAATTATCAATTAGACATTAATTAACTTATATATCCAGACCATAATAAACTCTCGATGTCAAGGCTAGCCTTCGATGTTGGCTGGATTAGATTCCAATATGCCGCTTAATGGCCATTGATAATTAAATCAAAACAGTGGAAAATCGAGACTATGCTGTTTATATTAATGATTTTAGTAATGATGACCGAGACTATGCGAAAAT